AATTAATGCAATTTTTATACCCCACTCTACATTGTTCTTAAGAATTTCTGATTATACCTAGAAGAGATAACCACAAGAAGCTGACTGGCTGCAACATTATGTCGGAATTTAACTGTGACCTTTGGCGTTAAAAATGCCAGGTCTCATTATGTAAAAAACGGTATTACAAATTTATTGCGCTGACCTTCTTCACAAATTAGGGTTGGCAAAATCTTGAGATGAACAATAGATTTCGTAGATAATTAAATTAACACTCGCGACGGTTAAAAATTAAACGGTGTAATGTTCAAATTATAAAAAGCTCAGAAACTAAATTTGTTAGGCTGTGATGTGGTGATGTTTTTTTTTTATCATTATCTTAAACTTTATAAATTAAAATATTAAATTATATAGTATGGGCCAGTTTTCTGCATAAATATCAAATGTCATCACTTATTGATTTGATCCTAGAATCAATCTCATTAACTAGTAAGGTGGAGTCCTATGTTCAGCAGTGGACTATAACACACACAAACGTATGTAGACACAAACCCATAATTTGTTGTTTTAGTAAATAAATCTGCTTCCTGTGTATTTTCGGACCCAACTTTTGCGAGACTCAACTCTAATTTTATTTACGTGTTACCTTGTGTGTGATTTGACACTGTTGTGCTAGACTGTTTCTATCTTCTGCATTCCTTTGCGATCTTCCTAGACTTCTTCCTTCATAGGCAGCTTTTATAGAACGACCGTAACATACGTGTCACGAACTGTTCGCCCTACAGTTAAAGGATAACTTTACAGTTTTCGTATTTGTTAGCGTCATACTGCAATGTAGACATTTGTTTGTGATTTGCCACTGTTTTTCTAGAGACTCTCTATCTTCTGAATTCACTATGAGATCTTCTTTTTTTAAAGACATCTTCTGTATATGTACGTGACATAAGTGTCATGAACTCTTTGAACTTCACTTGAAAGATAACTTTAGAGTTTTTGCTAAATACGATGTGTTGTATCCCGGATCTTTTGAATCCGTAACCTGTACTGCCAATCGATAAACGTATTTAACACTCAAATGTCAAGGTCCAAACTTATTCGACAGTGGCATGCAACATGGTTATTATTTTATATTTTATTTTTTTATGCTTCTGTCAAAATCGACTGATTACTTTTTATTTCAATACAGTGTTGTAAATTTTTATTACACATTTAAACATTAACATTATATTTCTTCAACTTTCTCATACAAATATGTATTATAAATATTAAAAGCACAATATTCATCTTTGCAGAAAACATTTTTTGAAATAGTAACCTTTATTATAAGTACCGTACATTTTATTATAATTGCACATTTAATAAGTTTTTTTTTATGTGACAATTTGGTAAACAAGCTGGTTCACCTGATGTTAAGTAGGATAACCGGGGCTATTTGTCATTTGCAACACACGTAGTGTTGCAGACGCGTTGTCACCTTCTAATAAAGTAGGCCCCGGCTACCTCAATCACCAGACGAAACTCAGAAGTTTACTACCACTTCACGCTAGTCATATGCGAGGTCGTGGTACTTATCCGGACGGACCTGCCCATTCGTGCAACAGTAAAGACTGTTGTACGGCCCTACCACAGTTAAGTGTTTATTTATTAGTTTTCAAGTGACTATGGGACATGTAAATGTTAATCCAATCGTAGGGCTTTGTTGAGAACCGTTAAACTTCACAGATTTTGTAAAGCGCAGCAATAAATCTCTAAAGAGGAATGGGTCAAGTTTGGGCCTGTCTCGTTATGCCTTACGACTAACGGGGCGGTTTATTGGCCAATAGGCAAAGGGCACACCACGCAACCGACCAAATATAGACAAGGAGACGCTTACATTGTGACACGTGCAAGTTGTTTTAAGCGTTTATTGCAAGGCGCCAACGAAATCTGCCGTACTGCGATACTTACCCGATTGAGCGAAGGCTTAACTATTTTAATCACTTTATTAAAAGGTGCCAACGCATTGGCAACCACTACGGGCGTTGCAAATGGCAATGGGTGGCGGTTATCACTTAACATCAGTTGAACTGCCAGCTCGCTTGCTAGTTGCCACCTTCTCACAAAAAAAACCTTAATCAACATTACACTCTCATTTTGTGATAAAATATACGAAGGACTCATAGAAGACTATCGTAAAGTAGAAGTATTTATTAAACTTATTTAATCAATATATACTTCTTTTAAGCTCTCACTGAACGACCAAAAACTGGCAAGAAACTCTGCTGAAATAAAACTGTGCAATTCTAAAACAGTATGTGTATTATAAAACGTTCGGTGAGGTTCGAGGTTAGCTACCGCTTGGTTAAGTGTTAACGGATGGCTGTCACGTCCCATAAGGTGAAGCTTTAATTCATTAGCCACCATCTCTTGTAAAGTTGAATAAGCATGCTGCGGTCCAATTAATTACTCACCACTTATCACTAAAGCACCACCTTATGTTAAGTGGTAAAATAATGCCAGATATATAAAGGTATCTTTTGATATTGAAATTTGTAGATTTGACCGTGTAAATGCTTTATTTCAAGACTATTAATATGCTGAATTCTTATTAGATTATATATAATATAGATGTATTGCTTTACTAATAAATCGTATGGTCTTCTAACGGAGTAGTCAATGTGGAAGTGTTTAAAATGTTGAAATACTAAAATCTACTTGTCTACAATCAGACTAGAACTCTAATAAAAGCGTCGTCAACTTGTTTTCTTGCAATTTTCGCAATTTTTTCGAACATGACTCGTATGTAAACCGACCTCAATGCATTACCTAATATGTGTTAAACCAACTCTTCCCGCCATTATGAAAGCATTGTCTTTTCCTGACAGTACACAGCCCGCGTAGTTTCTAAACGTTTGCCTTCGTGTCTGTTTGACTGTCTGTCGTAACATTGGGGTCAGGTTCATTAGTATTGGGAGGCTTTGCGTAAATAGCTAAACATTAGTAATGTTAGCAGTGAAGATTACGTGAAACGGTGTCAGTGTTAGGTATAGTTAAAATAGACTGGATTAGTTTTCAGATCTTTTAGTCACTCAAATATCTCTTTCGAACCGTAAGAGACTAGAGACGTGGGCGTTTGTACTTCTTTATAATTTAAGCAAATTACAAGGTACCCAATACGTTAACGCTATGGGAATTGAATTTATAGCCGTGTAGGACTGTTGGAGGAATAATATCAAGGTAAACAATCGTAAACGCCCACTTATAGTCCACATACTTTGAAAGTATAGATTTTTTGATATCTAAAACATAATCCTGGTACAGCCATCCATGAACAGAAGCTAGGGCACGGTTGGTGAATCGTATAGAGACTTGCACACACTTACATTTATGAGTGGCGATTTATGCAATGTAAGTACCAACACTATTCTCCCATAAAAAAAAAACATCACCAACACGCTGACCTGAAAGCACATTTTGTTTTTACTTAAAGGATACTGCAGATGGTATCAACACGTTTTTTGTACAAATATTTTAAAATTTGCAATGAAATTCGATTCGCGATTACGATTAAAACTGTGTACGTAAATTAAGTAGTGAAAAGCGTTTACTCGGGCCCATATGATAAAGTTTTACTCTTAAGTCCACAAAAATTGGAAACTTACCGAATTCTTGACTTGATTCTCGCGTATACTAACTGCACACTATTATAGATTTATGTACAAAACTATTAACTTGTTTTTGGCTATGAGACGATTATATAAAACTACCTTATCTAGTTAAAAAGTAACTCTGGAATTACTCAAATCAATCTGGGTTCAATCAAATGAGTGGATATCAGATAAATGATGAACTAAACTTTTCTGCCAGTTTTGCACAAAACTCGTCCAACTGATTACTTATCACTTGAAGTCATCGTGTGTATAAATCATCTCTATTAAGTAAACACTTGCAAACAACATTCTACAACTGAGAGCCGGACTGCCTTGGGCTTCTTTAAATAAATTTCGTTTTTCAAGACCAAATCGATGGATTCATCTTTAAAATCTTCATTATGTTAATAGTGTCACTTAATTCACACATTGTCAATGCTACCGCAAGGTTAATTTTTTTCGTGCGAAGACAAAGGCTAAGCTAAATTTTTATCAGCATCGAAAGCTTTAAATATATTTTTATTCATAGATACAACGATATATTTATTTAATACACATTATTTAATATATGAGCGCCTTTTAATTTTTGGTAGCAAGATAATTTCTCCCCATACAGTATTACAAATGGGATGATTTAAATGTAGGCGCTTTTTGTTTTTATAGCGTATTGAAGTATATAGATTATTTGTTTTATTTTTTTATTAATTGTATAAAATATTTTGAAAGTTAAGTTAAAAATCGCTAAAACAATATACACAGTGTTACACTACAGGAAATTTTATTTAGAAACCACAAATGTTTTTTATTAGCTTTATTAATGATAATAATAGATAAGATATTAATGTTATGTAGGAATGAAAAAAAAAAAATTAACACAAGTCTGTAGTAAAATACTTTAATGCACGGAACCCTCATACAAGATTTTGAAGAGCACACAAATTTAAATAAATGTTCTGACATTTATCGTGTTGAAGCAGATTAGTTTATCGTTCCATGTAATTGTGCGTTCACAAATTTGTATGTGAGTTGACCTTTTAGTCAATATTATAAACACCAACCGTACAATCAATCTTAATTTTTGTCCATTTATAGTCTGGGCGAGAAGTACGGAAATGTTTCGTTTTGTACTCATAGACGAATTTTGACTATCAAAAACCTTTCTTTAAGCCATTGTACATACATAAAAAAAATCTTTACATTTTTTAATCACTCATAATAATTAAAGGCAATGCAATAGTGTTAATATTTAAGTGCTTTCCGTGATATACCATTAAATGAGCCTCAAAAAGGCACTGGTTTTTAGATCTCGCAATAGTCAACCAATTAAGCATTGAGAAACAATAAAGTCTCTCCGGCCCATTAATGTAAAATCACTGCGTCTCCGTTTCACAGAGGCTGTCACTGCACATTGCAGTGGTACTGCTTTCGGTGTACCACACCTGTAAGGCGGACCGCACGGCGAGAGATGTCTCCAGCCTCTACAGCCAGAACTATGGGGTGGTGGGAGCACCGATTGAGGCCAACTTGAACGAGGATGGCTACTTCTACCCGAAGCCGAAGATACCGTTCCCACCGCCTCCTCCACCACCGCAACCAACGAGACCTCCACCTCCGCCACCGCCGCCACCGCCGCCACCGCCACCTCCAACCAGACTACCACCGCCACCACCACCACCTCTAACCAGGCCACCACCACCACCGCCACCACCTCCTACCAGATTACCACCACCGCCGCCACCACCACCGAGTAGACCTCCACCACCACCGCCACCACCTCCAACCAGACCTCCACCACCGCCTCCACCGCCACCTACGAGACCACCACCACCCCCACCACCACCAACTAGACCTCCACGGCCACAACCTACGACTTATGTGTATGAAACTCCACGAGTTCCTTTCCCCCCACCAACTAGACCACCACCTCCTCCGCAACCACCTACTAGACGTCCACCACCCACTCCTCCACCGCAACCACCACCAACATACACCACACAGCTAGACGTCAGTATTACAACTGGTTACGACTACCCCACTCCAAAAGTAACCTTCACACTTCCAACAAGACCTCCACCACCACCAACAACACCTAAAGCTATAATCACAAGGCCTCCACCACCACCACCACCACCAACGAGACCTCCGTCAACGTATCTTCCGCCAACAAGACCACCCCCCCCAACACCCCCACCTACACCAAGGCCACCACCACCACCACCACCACCACCACCACCAACGAGACCTCCACCCCCACCACCACCACCGCCAACAAGACCTCCACCGCCACCTCCACCACCCCCGACGAGGCCTCCACCCCCACCACCACCACTGCCAACAAGGCCCCCACCGCCACCTCCACCACCTCCAACCAGACCACCCTCCACGTATTTACCTCCGCCAACAACGAGAAGAACACCACCACCTATAACTAGACCACCACTACCACCAATAACGAGGCCTCCACCACCACCGATCACACGACCACCACCGCCGCCACCTACACCTTACCTTCCACCGCAAACAACGACGCGGCCACCGCCACCTCCACCACCGCCAACAACAAGGCCACCACCACCGCCTCCTCGACCACCAACGACGACCAGACGCCCACCAACATACTCCACCATAATTCCTACATACAGAACCACTGGCTACGAATACCCGACGCCGAAGGTTGTTTTCACCCTTCCGACAACGAGGCAGCCGACACCGCCACCCACAACAAGACCGCCACCTCCCCCACCCACCACCAGGGCTCCACCACCGTCACCGCGGCCGACATCACCTACTCCGGGCTACACATACCCTAGACCATCAAGCACATACCCGGCTCCCACATACACCACAAGGAGGCCAGTGTCCATTACTCCTCCCACAACCCCGCGTGTGGTCTACACCCAACCCTCCACCACTAGGGCGCCTTTCACCACCCGCCCGCCCTACGTACCTGACCAGGGTTATTACTACGATCGACCACAAGTTCCCTTCGTTTTCTAGACTATACGAAAGTTTCCTTCTAAAATGCCATACTTGTTTTATGCCAAACTTTAATCTTCCCACTGCCGGAAGTTGCTTGGGTTTTAGTAGTATGTTAGTATCATTATAAAAATTATGATATTGTTAAAAAATTTCTTATCCATGTAAATATTGAACTAGTCTAAAAAGCTCTATGTTGCATTTAAGCGTCACAATGCAATCTGACTAATAATCTAATAATATCTGACCATTTTATGTTGAAGAATGATGTTGCCTGAATCGATTACTAAGCTACTGATACTATACATATGATTACATATATTTTCTTTTTATTAATGTTAATACTCAAAGGAAAACGTGCAATCTACACTGCCTTAATTTACTAATTTTAGTTATAAGACTGTAAAGATATATTTTTAGATAAAAATAAAAACAATTGAAAACATTGAATTAGGAAACGTCTTTTATTTGTATGAACTCATTGAACGCATTTCTTCTTGCTAGTGAATTCTGTAAGTGCCAATGGGATTGAATCACTAGCGTGTTCTAAATAGATAAGTACCGTGCCCACACATGCACCCCTCTCACCTGGCGAATGGCAAAAGATATAAATACATCTTCTTTGCACCGATATTCTGTTAGACCATGGTACTTTCCCGCTCAAGCATAACTATTGGTGTAGCAGCTGTTGTTATTTAAGCTGTTGTTGCTCAACCATTGCAAAGTTCTTATTCGAAAGTTGTTAAGAGCAACTGACAAGAATAGGTAGCTATCTCCGACGGATTGTTTTAAAAACCACGAAATTCTCGTTATCTGTACAGGATGATGCTTCCGATATCAAATAACGTTTTATTGGTTCGCTTGCGACATCTAATGTTATTTCATGGCAGGAAAAATCTAGAGAAAGACAATTCGTTTAGCGCCGCTAACAACGGGCGAATATAGTTTACATGCCCGATGGCGAATAGCAAAAACCAATTACGTAACCCGTGCTATCGTAACCGCTTTCGCGGACGACGACGCAGGTGCTGGACACGCGAAACTGTAATTACACCGAACTTACTCGGCACTTGTCAAAATTCCGACTGCAAGGAAGTATTCGAATATTTGGTAGCGATTCGATGGCGCAGTTACAACTACAGCTTTCTTTGGTGACGGGGGTCGTTTTCCATATGGGACAAGTATTTGTGACCCACAAATTATTGGCCCGGATCTGGGTGTTCGTTGGCAACGAGGCTTGACGACAGGCCGTAAAAAACCCTAGCCAATACAACTTATACAATATGATTCGCTTGTTTTGTCGACCCCCATAGGTAAGATAAGGTTAGGAAAAAGGCAGCAGCCAAATTTTGAATAGTCAACCCAAGAAGTTAAAGTTGTAGAAAAGTACGAAAAGATTGTCGCCGCGGTGGGAATCGAACCCACGTCGTCTACAAGTTTTAATTGTCAACCCAAGGTTGAATAATTAAAGACGTAAGTACCAAAAAAGCCGGTATAGCTTAAACGGAGAAGGGAACTAAACCTATCTTGCTAAAGTAAAAAAAGGAAAGGTAGCTAGCAAACTAGGGGCAGACCATCAGCTGACGGTTGGATATGTTGTAAAATATATCAGACGTCAATGGATACGACATGCATAGGACTAGAATGGATGGTGTGAACGACAGAAGGCAAACTCAAAACCCATATTCAACAAAGAGGCCAAATGCTGATTACATAGATGGATAGTAAGATATTAAGATTTTTTTATAATCCAGAAGAAAATTTAATTAAAGGACATTATTATATAAAATCAATACGAAACGATGTATGAAGAAATAGTATAATAAGTACAATTTCGCGAGTCAACTCATAACATGAGACTCTTGGTTCAAAACTCAAAGAACACTATCTTTCTTAGATAATTCTTTTTAAATTTGTTTTGATGTTTTAATGGTTAACCGTTGAGCGCGGCTGTGAGACTTAGTAAACTGAATAGTTAATATTGGTGTATATATTATCTAGTCACTCAAAATTAAATAGAAATATATTACGGATTTTTTAACAATTAACGGTTTCAATACATTTGAGATGAAATATAAATATCAAGCAAACGACCTACTTATAATCACTTGGAAATATTCCTTAAAATAGTTTGTACTACCTGGGAGTTAAACCCCAACCCAGCGCCTAAAGGCGATCACTTGGCCCATTGCGGTATCCAAGCAGTAAACTTCGCGACTAACACGTTTGGACAATGTAAATGACTTGTAAAATTATTTTCACTCACTTTGTCAGATTAGAGATTTGTACGTGATTAAGGTGGCTAACAATGGAGCGCAGTTTATGCTCAACATTAGAAAACGCTAGTATTATACCGCGACTGTGTTTACAACATAGAAATGCTTTTATTTATCCACAGTACATTAAGAATAGAGGCAATAGCACATAATTAAGAAGCCAATAGAACTATTTAATTAAATAACGCTATTAAAATACACATTATATTGACTAGGACCAGAGAATTATTTGCGGGAAAGGATGGGACAGTAAAACAGATATCTTAAGATCGTCACTCAATTGTAGCTAATGTTGTTAGTATTAATGTAAAAAGTCAACAAACGAATAAAACAATAACTATTCACACACGGACACGTGGACAAGACCTATGTCTTAATAAACACAATAAAGCGTTTCTCCCGCCAAATGCGAGCGCGCCGCTGAGCAACGTCCGCGCACACGCTCCAATGCTTTTAGTGTTGTCAACGTATACAATATACTCTTACATCGATATCGACTTCGATAGGCCAATTTACATCAAATTGGGCCTCACTCACCAGACGAAAATCAGAATTATGACACTTCCACTTCACGCCGGTCTTCTGTGAGGTGTTGGTACTTACCCGGACGGACATACCCATTCCTGCAACAGCCGAAGCTGTTGCGTGCCCCTACCACAGTTGGTATTATCCAGCTTAAAACAAACTTAGACTTACTAATACCTGCTACTTAGAACTACTAATACCTTTTTAGTAACGTTGGGGAAATTATGAAAAAATACCCACCCTCGCGGGGACAAGGACGGGTTAAGTCGGTATCGCTCTGGCTATAACCACCATAATGTTCCACCTAGGGCACATATCGGCAGGGCCGCGGGAACGGTTTTGCATACTTCCGAGACCCTGCATGCGCTGGTTGGCTTAGCAGCCCCTTCCCGGGGAGATTTTACATGGACAATGGACTCCCCCGAGTTCACTAACTAGAAGCCATGGGATTCAGGCGAGCCAGTGTTAATGAGCAGGAATCTTCCTAGCCCCCTGGGACGGACCTAATCTATGGCTCCACCGTTCACCACTTTTCGGCTGCAGAGAGTTGGGTGAACGGCCTGTCACATTATAAACACTCCTCTCCCGCCGCGGCCCCACCACTACTGCATCAGCTGTACAACCCCACTGAGTCGCGGAGGGTAGAGATAGTGGCCAAATGCAATACCATCACTCCTCTTCCTCCACGACTCAACTTCGGTTGCTACTACTGTATCACCCTCGACCTCTCCCCCGCACTCTCCCAGCAAATGTCGAGAGTGGGTTCAATGAGCCGAAGCGACCCACTTGAAGCGGCCTAACACCATAGGCTGGCCCTATGTGGGTGTCTCTCGGCTTCACCGTGGGTGACCAAGCCACGGCCACTAAGCTTTTCCGCCACGACAAGGCCACTTAAAACTAATACAGACTTGCATATTATCAACTAATATTTTAATCAAGAACTAAGAGTGTCTCAATGTAAAAAGACTGCCTAAAGACCTGGAATGCACAGTTTTTTTTTTTCTGAAATTTCCAGTCGGCACTTCCACTATCTTTAACTCTGTATGTAACTGCACAAAATTAGGATACGAGGAGATATTTACTCCTTATTGAATACATTTTTAGAATAGGTTTTGTAGAGGCGCACAAATCTTCGCCCTTTAGAAAAAGATAACGTTGAAAATTTAATAAATATCAATGTTATCGACAATTTTGCGGCTACAATAGCATCCCTACGCTTAGCGTCGAAACAATCTCGACGAAAAACATCACGCCAAGCGCACAATAGTCCGTCGCATTTCTCGCAGCGGACGCAACGCCGTCCGGGGGTTTGGGGCAAGCGGGCGAACGGTCACCATCGACGGTCACACCGCCGCCCAGTTATGTGAAAGATGGCGAGCGACCAGTCGGAAACCAGCGGCGGCTCCCGAGTGAGGCAGTTCGGCCTGTACCGGAGCATAGACGCGCGGACCGAAGAGTTCCTCAGGCTGTCGAGGAAGCGGCAGATGAGGCAGGGCTGCGCCTGCGCCGCAATCTCCACGGCCATAACCGTCACCATAATCGTCGTAAGTGCACATGATTAGAGAAAGCGGCGGGTGGCGTGCAGACTCGGTACGCTGTGCTAACATGATTCAAGTCACCGTTGCAATCGCGTCGCTTGTGGGTTTGCTAATAACATTAATGTCTCAACACAACCGAGATCTAAACTAAGATAACATTACAATTGATTAACGAGTCGTAAAAGAGAGTCGCATATAAAGAACCCTTATCAACCCTAATTCCTATTTGTATTGTATGACAATATGTAATTAATATGGCTTTTGGATCATAACTGTGTGCCAAAAAAGTACCGTACTAATGTTTTCATCCGTTGAAATAGTTTTTTCTCGGTTTTGATCAACGCGTGAGATATTTGTTTGTGTGTATCGAATACCGACGCTTTAAGTTTAGTTTAGTTTACACACACTTCTGACCGTTTGTAAGAAGGAGTGCAGTTCATTTAACTAGATAGCCCAATTTTTAAAAGGTTGTCAACGCATCTGCAACCCTCGGGTGTAGCAGATGTCCATGGGCGGCGGTATTCACTTAACATCAGGTGAACCATCTGCTCGCTTGGCAACTTTTCACATAAAAAAAAAAACTAGATATCGATTCGTGAATAATTTTATACCCCCGACTCACACGATTTGGACCTCACTACCATGCCATTGTTAACGCATTATTAGCTCGTTAATTATTTTATTGTTTAACAAAACAACGATTAAAGTTATATGAAGTCGCAATGATATTCGAAGACTCTTAACCAAACTCCTCTTCGACATAGGAATAATTCCACATTATAGAGCTTTGAGAAATATTTGGTAGGTTTAACCAATTCCATGGAGATCATCAATGTATTTACCGGCAATACTTGTACAAAAATATGTATAACAAACAAACTTTTAATTAATAGGGACAAAAATGTTCATATACAAAGCTTGTTTGTTCTTTTTACTCTTTTTTTTTAACATTTCCCTTACTTGAGGATACCATTATTCTGTGTTGCAAGGACATTTTACGTACATAGTTTCACGTGGACAAACACCCAGAAACGAAACAGGTATATGTAAGGTAAAAATAAAAAAGTAAAGTAACAGCCTATACATATCCCACTGCTGGGCAAGGGCACCCTCTTCCCAAGGGACACTAGGGCATAGTCCACCACGCGGCCCCACTGCGGATTGGCGGACTTCACATATTCTACAAAATACTTCTTTTGTTATTATTTCGAAAGGATTTCTTCACATAGTTTTCCTTCACAGCTTAGCACGTGATAAGTCTGCACTTAAAATTAACAGTTTCATTGATACCGCCATTGGAGATCGAACTCAGGTTGCTCGAGTATATTGAATTAAAGGCGAGCGCCTGGACAATGAGCTGTCACGGCTCTTAGTCTGTGGGTTACAAAAATAGTGGTCCCGTGTGGGAAACGAACCCATGACCCCCGGCTTCGAAGTTATTACCGATTGCGCCATGGAGTCATCCCTCAGAGCTGATCATATTCTATTGAGATAGGCAAAGATGGCACTCTGCCCGTTTCCGATTTTTGGTCCAATTATTTGGTTCTTCGAGAACATAGCACAGTGTACTTAAGTGTAATTCTGTTTGTCAGTAAACATATTTTCATTTTCATTTTTCATTTTTTTCATGGTCGAGGTATGCCGTTTTTTGGGTCGCTTCGTTTTCAAAAATAAAGAATGTAGTGATATTAAAAAAACCGGCCAAGTGCGAGTCGGACTCGAGCACGAAGGGTTCCGTACCACTATCTATAAAATCAGTTTTTGGCTGTCTGTGTGCGCGCGCATCTTAAAGAATTCATAGTTTTCATCGTTTTAAATGAGAAATTCAGAAATTGAAAAATTCAGAATACATGGTTAAGAGACAAATTGGGGCGACAGACTTCCGAATGTCAATCTTCGCAAAAGGTTCTTCTGCGTAAATTCCTGCCGTAAAATTTACATTTTTATTTGTATGAGTGTGTCTATGTGCTGTAAAAAACGATACATTACACGGAACGATAGCTAATTACATTAAAAAACGTGGGTGCGTTGAGCCAAAGCGAATTGTCCGATTTCAATTAGTGTATTTCAAGAATGAAATGTTTTTTTTAATTATTTGCTCATGTTTAATGTCTTATCTTTGAAGTCAAAAATAACATGATATACTCCAAGCCAAGTAGACAAAAGTAGAGACGTTTGGGGGCTTTCTTTCATCGCGATCTTAATATTTGTAGGCCAAGTCTCTGCCCATCTGATAAAATAGTACAAGTACGAAATTCAGTATTTACAACCGACATATTATAAAAGTTGAAGATAGTATTTTTTTAAAACATTGCACTTACTAACGTAAGAGATAACATTATCCTGTGTTGTAAGGAAATTTTACAAACATAAATTTCACGTGGACAAACACCCCGAAAAAATTATCTGTGGTCCCACAAAATATAGTTGTCTCGTATGGGAATCGAACCCACAATCCCGGCGCAGAAGCCAATGCCTTGGCAACTGCGCCAAGGAGTCATCAGATTGATTTACTCGTGTGAAACTTGTTCAGTAAATCTATCTAATGAAGATTTAAATAGGGTTTCGAAAATATCAATATTCACGGACAGCGCCTAACAAATTAAATTAAGTATCGATGTCTCCTCCGCCTCGCCCCTGAACCTTCGGTTCAGGCTAGGCGCTCCGTGCGCCAGGCCACCTCAAGTCCGTCGGATCTGTGAAGGGCCCCTAAGGCCAATAGTGTCTCATCCAGCCAAAAAAAAAAAGAAAACATCGATGTCAAGTCTACTTTATTGCACTTAAATTATTGCACTAAAAAAATAGGAAGGCAAAAATAGAAAAGCGTCGCGTAAAATGCCTTCTAATATTGTCATTCATTACTAAGTGTTTAGTAAACACGAACGAAATAAAAACATCAAATTGTCGAGTAATTGCACCGCACGAAACAATGTGTTGAATTAATCACTACTGCGCTCTTCTCTGTTAGTTGTAAACAAATTCTTCGCAGCTTAGTAATGTATCATTGTTTCTTTCGCTTGCAATGAACTGTGTGTGTGTGTAACCTTTTGGCAGAGTGGTTTAGCGTACAATTATCGATTGAGCAGTTTAAAAAGTTTGACTTTTAGTCTTAACTCTAAAAGCTTTTTAGAGCGGCCTCAATTTGAGGTGCCTAATTGAAATAACAAGCGTGACTGTGATGCTACACGATACACATACATACATTATATTATACTTACATTATTTTTTATGAGAGAGCAATGGGTGCATTAGCATTTGAAGAGAAGGTTCGATTTCCAAAGCGGCGACAGTCTTTACGTACTTTTTCTACAAATTTTAATGTTAAATCTTAAGTGCAGAGATTAGCACTATTAAAAATTTTAATTTCATAAAAGCAATGGCGACATCTCTAGTTCAAATTATTGGTGTAAAACGATATTCAAAATTATTTGTAAGCTGGAAAGGATACAACAATGGATGCGCCAAACATTGCTTCAAATGCTAAAAAATAAAGTAGATAAAGGACGTTAAGATTTTCGTCGGTGTGGCAGTCAGCCATTTAGCTTAGTGACTAAAGCGTCAGGCCGCGAATGCCGAAGACGTTGGTTCGATTCCCACAGCGGCGACGGTCTTTTCGTACTTTTCTACTAATTTTAATACTAATTTACACCTTAAAAATCACTTATTACATACAGTGTAAGCACGGTTATTCGATGTAGATAAACTATGTTGTGACTAATATATGTTTGTTTGTTTACTACAAGGTATGTATCATGTGTGCTCCAAAAAGTAATAAGTTGAATTAACATTAGACTATATAATGCTTAAAAAGATAATTAATTAAATCTCTGTCAATATCAACAGTTTAACACGATCATCTCTATTTCAGAGCATCCTGCTGGTGTTCGAATTCAACGTGATACCAAACGCTGAGCTCAAATCAATGCAATACTTGAAAAGTTTACTGAATGACACCGCTGAAGTGATGACGCTTAATAAAGAAAATCTTAACATAGACAAAGCCACGCTCAAAATGTTACCGATGCTCATGAAAGCGCTTAAAAAGAACAACATTCTCCATAACACTATTGAAGACACGACCAAACATTCAGTCCAAGAGGGGTGGCACACAACCACTGAGTTCACTTACAAGAAAAACGTTTTCTCAGACCGAAACAATTGGATCCGGTTCCCGACGTCCAAAGCCTACGCGATTGAGTATAAAACCTCACCAGTAGTCTACTTTAAAACACCTAAAAACGATTACTTCACTAAGATTAGAAAGATCAGAGATTACGAACGCATCATAAATTACATGGACAAAATGATAAGCGATCGAGTCTCGTTTGGATCGACTCAGCCAATGCAAACAGTCGAAGATTACGCAGCCGAGGAAATTCAAACAGAACGGACATTTACAATGTCGGCGAAGAGATCATCACAAGTCGCATATTACCCATATGAATCTCCAATGCCCAAAACAATAATTACCACGACAAGAAGACCCAATGTGAAAATTGAAGGTAATAAACATTGTAAATGTCCAAAAAAAATTGGTCAAATATTGAATAATTTACTGTCGAATATAAAACTTTTGGTTACACAATATGGTACGACAGAATCAGCATTTCCCTATTCGCCCTGTGATATAATAGAAGCTAAACTACATTTTCCTGGGAATATAATTGATATTCATGTAAATGAGAAAATAGACAAGCAAATACTAAATCAAGACATAGGTCTACAGCCGCACATTAAGCTTGATTCAGAAGCAAAAAAACCTGAACCTGGCTCCAAATCAAATCAAGACGGTTTAAAACAAGACCAAAATTTAAACAATATCTTTGGTTTACTTCAACAAAAAATTATAGGTCAGAGAACTTACCTTTTTAAGAGTCCGAAGAACGTAATTACAACACCACCAATGTTCATTGAAAGAACCGAAGTAAACGAAGATAAATCAACTACATCAAGAGAACGATACGCTAAATACGACCCTTTACATTTTAATTACTACCAAGCCGGACACTGAAGAAGATAATGATAAAAAAATACCACAAGAAAAAATTTTATCGACGTCAACTTCGAGGGCACACCGTGCTAAATATAATCCATTAGATTTTATTTCTGTTCTTTCAGACTACGGTGAAAACACTAAAAAAATCCACAATCAAAAGATATCATCAGAAAAAGTTGTATTGACTTCGACTTCAACAGAACAATTTGCCAAATATGATCCATTACATTTTATTGCTGTCACTCAAAGCTACGGCGATAAAAGGAACCAAAACATCGACCAAAAGGTTTCGTCAGAAAGATCTTCATCGATGTCGACTTCAAGGATACAATATGCCCAAAATGACCCATTACATTTTATTACAACAGTCTATGAAGAAGACAGTAAAAAAAATCATGATAACGAGACGACTTCCGAAAAAACTAATAAAAAAAGTGACGAGGGTCTATTTTCTTCTTCAAAAACAACAGCTGAAAAATATTTCAATCTCGATATCAATAGTATGGAATTAGTAAAAAAAAAGTTGATATCATTAAATAAGGATATGAATAACAGTACCATCGAAGAACCTTACACAGATATTGAAATAAATGATTTAAGTACAAAGCCTGACACAAAATGGTACACTCGTAACAAAACCTCTGAGTCTAAGAATAAATTTTATCCAATCGTCACAACACATTACTTCTATCACCGCCATAATGCAAGCCCTAAATTCACTTCAAGCGCCAAATTTCAAACAACAACAAAAAAGACAACATCACCATCAAAGAATGCGACATCAGTAAAAATGTTAAGGACGGGAAGAACAACCAAATCTGTGACTATGGAAACTACAAATTCAACTAAGAAATTAAATAAAACTATTAAAGCAGAAAACAATCTTTCCCGCTACAACGAAAAATACAAAGAGGAATTAGGCTTACGCTGGGAGGAGCTTAATTTGGATGATGACATTGATAAAATGATAAACGGAGATAATTATCAAGAGATTGATGAGAACGATGATTTTAGAAGAACTGTTGGAAATATGTTAGAATTTCCGTCTGAGGACAGCGTGTTCAAAAACTCCGGAGACGTCAAAGAAAAAGATGACGTTTTCTTCACGTCCGGAGCCTTTCACAATAAACCCCACGAGTATTTGGAAATCCAAAAAAATAATTTGAAACAAGATGAAACCTATGATATATACTTAAAACAGTTATTCGAAAACATGCATTAAGTTATTAGTATAATGTATAAACTTTATATTGTCAGAATAAAATTTAATTATTGTTTGAATGTTATTAATTATTTTAAATACTCGATTATTTTTCATGTTTTGCCAAGTATGTACTTTTATTTTATTTTTTCAGGTAGTTCTACTAATCTACGAGTATGCGATTGCAGTAGAAACGAGTTTAGTACAAAAAAGGAAAAACCTTAAAGACAAAAGTGTAACCGATGATAGTCCTGTAGCCGACCGGTTAGATAGAAGTTATTTCGGCTTTGACCAAGATTATTATGAAAGGATGCCCCTCCTTGTAAATGCCCTAGCAGAAAATATTCCTGTTGAATCTTTAAATGAATCAATATCAGTAAGGGAATGGAAGCCACTAGAGGATACCACTTATAAATCGCGTGGGCCTGTGAATATGTATTCCTTAGTGCGGCGAACAAGTCCGAGGCCGTTTCAGTTTGAGCGTAAAAGTTCAACGCCTCTTCCCTTTCGAAAAACCTACGGGTCCAGGAGCTGGGCTGAGAGCTATCGGAATGCGCAAAGAATGCGAAATCTTCAACAGATAATGGTGTACCTCGGTAAAACGTTTAACGCTAAACTCGCTGACATACACATAGTTCCGACACAGTCTCACATTGCATTCTCCGGCATATACATAGAACCGTTGAATGCTAAATCAGGCACAGATATAACAACACCAAAGGCGAGCACTGCTGAATCCCGTCATCGGACTGATCCACTGTTCACGTTTAAGCCAGACAGTCCAGGTGATGTTAATTTGTTAGCGGAAGACTTCTTTAGGTTTTCACCAACATTCATTCATAATGTGGAAAAAGCAATCCTCACAAATTCGCAAAAAGTCGTTGGTAATGATAAAAACTTTGACCAAAGTACGCACAGTTTAGATGTGCATAAGAGTGAAAAAGAAGTTTTAGATGAACCTTTGAATACAGATTTAATACTTCTTAAAAAACCTAATACATTCGGAATGAACTTTGATATGACATCCTCTGTGATGACTAATAATGAATTCAAAAACCCCGTAGCAACTACATCACGAATGTTGAAAAAGATCTACATAACAACGTTACGTCCAAACATACAGTTTAAGCCTAGATCAGCGATACCTATAAGACGCACAAATGTGAGACATAACAGGCCACGCCAATACTCATCAAATAATATCAATACTAAACCAATATTGGAATCAAAGACCGGCGCCAAAATGATTGTACACGTAAATGTTTTTCCTACTAAAACAATTATTAAAAATAATGACACTTCTACAAGCAATATTGCCACAACCTCAACCACGACAACGAACAAGCCTTATAATGAAATACCAATAATTAGTGCCAGAGAAGTACAGGACTATCACGCGGGCAGTTCTGGAATTATTCCAGTCACTACTCAGTCGCAAATCGTCCCGCAAGTAGCCACCATGATACCATTCTTTGAGCCGACAGTCCCGCTACCAGATCCAACATGGCCCACAAATTCTCCCGATATCATCAGATTCAGCCGTGAAGACGCTAAAATACCTGCTCAGTACTTAACAACGGAACCCTTCGAAGACCCAACAACCGCTACAACAGAGATGACTACGCTTATTCCAAATAAAAACATTGAGTACGATGAGGATAGTGGCGATGTAGAGGCGAGGACACTTATTATCAAACTGGTAAACAATTTCCAGCCAACCACACCAAGCAATGCGGAGAAAACATCCAACGGAACTAACCCTGACGATATGATCAAGGCAAATACATACGTGCCGCAGACAAACAATGGTCACTATAGGAACGTGGAAAGAGCGCGAAAAATTCTCATAGATTTATTGAAAGAAAACTCAGAGAAATATAGGAAGAATCGACTCAAAACATTGGCAACGGTCAGCGCGCCAACTTACGTGCCAATGTACGTCGAAATCAAAAGAAACCACACGAAACAACAAAGCAAAAACTACGAGTGATTCTTCAAATAGATAAACTAATGATAATTTTAATTATAATTACTTACATTATTATATTAAGCCATAAATGAACATTATGGCCTTATTGTGTATCTTTATTAGGCGTTCATATTTAGACATTTTTGCTTGTGTTAATAAAACATGTTGTATTTAATGTTTGTATACAATTGCGTGAAATTGTAGCATTTTGAATATCTATCTTGTTTCTAGTTTCTTAATTGCCCACCGACTTTTCTTATTTAATTTAACGTAACGTTTTAAATTCATTGTAAGGATAATCTGGTAGGGCTCAGAAATCAATAATTCATTATTCTAAGTTCTCTTTATGCTTTCCATGTTATCGAACGAAATACCGATATTTATAGTATCAACGATGACGAAAGTTCATTTATTATATAATATACTAAAATATGTTTTTTTATTTACATTGTTTACCTTACTACGGCCGTACTCGAAATTACTGCAATTTTCTCATGTCATAAACAAGTATAATAACAACGATCAAGGGGAATATATTTATGTTACATGTAAGTACTCATCCAATAACAAAATCATTATAAAAAGTACTTCCAATTTGTTAAAATTATTAATTCATTCTCTTCCCGTACTTTAAAACAGCGTTAAAAGCTTGATATGACAAGCTTTTCAAATTAAGCCTTAATGGCTTGCGTGAAAACTAAAAGCTCAAGTTTCAAATATGGTTTGCAGTTTTATGTTGAGAATAAATTGAAAGACTAAACAGGATTTCGTAAAAGTAAATTGGGTCAATTAAAACAGTAACTGCACATTCATGTGTTATTAAAAAAATTATCTACAATTAATTCCTATTCATCATTATGTGAAAAAACGTTAAGTTGCAATCCTATCTTTAAAATTTAAAGTCTTTATTTATTTTTATTAAAACATAACTCAATACAACATTTTATAAAAATAAAATGTAAAGAATTGTACATATCTATACAGATAATATATACATTTGTACAGATAAATAAAATTGTAGTGTATGTTTGTAATATTAAAATAACCGCTTTTTACTAAATGCTTATGGATGTATACACGCTACAAATACCAAAATAACATAATTTACAATTTTTGTCTGTCTGTCTGTCTGTCTGTTTGTTCCGGCTAATCTCTGAAGCAGCTGGACCGATTTGGACGGAACTTTCACTGGCAGATAGCTGATGTAATAAGTAGTAACTTAGGCTACTTTTATTTTAGATTTTTATTTTATTAAAAATTGCCACGCGGACGAAGTCGCACAGCTTGTCACACATAAAATTAATGTGCCTGACAAAACTTTGTAGCAAAGCTTCAGTTATGAATATTCACATATCCGTTCAAAAGTATAAACATATCTAAATTTAGCTGACATGGTTCAAATAGGATATTTAAAAGTAGAATGAATAGATTAGGATAATATAAAAAAAAAACGATAGCACGTGATAATTTTTACATTTCTATCATGCGTTTCCTTCAGAGACTTATAAATGTGTATTACACTATTTCTGTAATCTCAAATTCAAATGAAATGAAATATATATTTATTAAGAGCTTATGTTACTAACTGAGCGAGTTAAGAGTTATGAAAAGAAATCGACTAAACGTTCGTCTTTTTTTAAATATTCCTAATACTAAATGAATCAAACTAACTCTATACTGTGAAATAATTTTATGAAATAGCAAACAAATATTTCTCTTGAAATAAATTCAACATTTAAAATATTCTTTTTTGATTATGTATATTTGAAAAGATATTTCCCAAAGATATGGCCACGCGACAGTCTTGGCTGTTGCACGAATCAGCAGGTCCGTCCGTTAAGTACCACGACCTCAAAGAAGACCAGCGTATACTTCTGCTTTTCGTCTGCTAGTCGGGGCCACTGACACGCAGGGTCAGGGTTATTAAAAGAAGGCAACGCATCTGGAAACCCTACGGGTGTGGCTACTTTCAAACGGCAGCAGTTATCACTTAACATCAGGAACCGTCTACTCGCTTGCTTTTTTCCATGTGAGAAGCTATCTTTAACCAAACAACTATTCGAAATGTATTTATTTGGTTTTTAGATTAAGAAAATGAAATTTTTCTCTACTCTATTTTTTTTACTAAAAGTTACGTATAATTATAATTGTACTTGCATTTATTTACTCGAGGAACTTGGGCTCAATCACCGGTGTAAACTACATATTTCCGAAATAATAACAATAACAATATTTGAAGTGAAGTCCGCCAATCCGTAGTGGGGTCGCGTGAAGGACTATGCCCCAATACTCCATATACAGATGAGGCCTTTGCCTAACAGTGGGACATATACGTGGGTCAAACTGACAGTCCTTAGAAAATCATAAAACGAAGTCTCCGTATCCATTTCAAAGTAGTCTCCGTTCCCCTCTCTATCATCAAATCTCTCTGAGGTTAGACGGAACTACTGAAAAAATCGATGGGCCGATTCTTCCTTAGGGGGTCTCTTCTATGGTATTTTCTAACGCACCACATCTTCAGGGCTCGTAAAGAGAATATTATCCGAAATTAATTTTGGTTCTTGGGAATAAATGTATACATAGTCAAATATCCTGTTCATTTCGCGAAGGGCGATGAAGCGTCTTGGTGAAGGAGGCTCCTGCTTAGTGCTCCAAGGATATTTTCAAAGACAGCAGGGAAACAACAGTTAACGTACCATTCTTCAGCAACTTTCCTTCCATCTCCCAGCACAACTGTTGCGAAATGACCTTTCCGAACAAAAAAGAAGAAAGAAAGAAAGAAAATAAATTTATTTACCAAAAAAGGACGCACACAACAAAAATTTTACCAAAAATAAAAGAAATTTTGAAAAAAAAAACTAAAAAAAGACACACAAGAGCAAAGAAAACAAAACAAAATCTGTACATACAAAAAAAATTGGCGATATAAAACAAAAGAAAAATAAATCAATTTAAAGGAAAAGAATTGTACAAAGAATTGCAAAGAATGGGTGAGTCATTTTTTTGTCCTTGGCTTCTTCCTCTATTTACTTTAGTTGGCCTATCCTCAAAAAGAAACAGCCACTGAGCTGATTTTCTTTTGGTTGCGTAGGAATATATCAAGCTTTCATCGCCTGTGACGATGTCAAATACAGCATTTTAGTCACTTTTGATTATACACGTCAAGTAAATAATCAAATTTGTCAAGAATATAATCAAAGTTGAACTGCATTGAACTATTCTAACATTAAGCGACACTACTCTGGCGCGGGCGTTACTGGTCTTCAGTCAAAGTATTAGGAATCCATCTGGTACAAAGCCTCTTAACGGCTAATTGGTCGTGTAATGTTTTTGTACTTGATTCGTGTAATAATCGACCTCGCCCGAATCTTCTAGTAGGTCACTCTATTATCTTCCTCTATCGTGTGTCGCATAGCACTGAAGTTACCTTAAGATGTCGCTGTTGAAGGATGTCCCTCACCCAGATCATCACTGAGATTGAAAAACGCCAAACGAAGTCAATCATATCTTTATTATTGAGCAAGATCACAAAGAAAGTCGTAATAAATCATGGAGCTAAATTTTTTTCGCGTTAAATTAATTTTGAGGTGTAACAAGATTTTGGAATTCACATTCATAAAAACATATGACAAATTAATATAGGTTACTAACGAGTTCTATATTTAAAATTTAAAAGAAGCTAAAAAGTGCAATAACTCGCCAGTTTTAAATACCTTCAGTGTCAGCCTGATAAAGGCTAGACTTTACTTTTTACTTTTATGCAATGTTATTTCTTTTGTATTTATGTATATGTATTTACGTATGTTATGTAGCAAGTCAATCATTTTAAAAGCCTAGCGCTAATATCTTGTCACAGCAGACTAAGTATATAAACGTTCTCGTGACCTTAATGCAACTACTCCGTTCGGTGCTCGCCCTTTAAAAACGCGACCTGACTATTTTCTTCCTACTCTAACAGCAGTGACCTCCGTATCGTCATCTCAGCTCACGCATCTCAAGAAAAACCCCGTTACTTTTACTAGTGCAAAAAGGCGCTATCTGCGAAGCCTTCAAGGTGAAAGCTCTCGATGTATAGCTATCTCTGTTGCGCACGTTGTTCGCGCAAAAGATAAGTGAGCGAGAAAACTGCAATACACGTCCAGTCTCAAAGACTGGTGGTGCAAGTTTTTGACAGTACGATTCAAACTTGGCGGAGTGAGTTAGTGGACCCGATGATGTTAATACAGTGAAATAAATCAATTCAATCATTATATACCTAATGATAATAATTATGTGAAAAAAAAGGGTGAATATTTTGTGCATGTAACAGCAAGTGTAACGGATTGTTGTTTTAAAAAACACGGTACGTATTTGGGCATAACTGTAATTGACAGTTAGCTACAAGCGAATTTGCATGCGGAACTTTCTTTGCATAACACCTTTGTTAGTCACCAAGGCCATCGAACACAGGAGTTGTGTACCATTTCAACGTATTCATTTAAATATTGCCACATATTTTTAAAGTCTTAAAGTATTAAGTATATGTTCTGACCGTTAATACATTTCAGCTTATGCTCTTCATTGTTTTTTTTTCTTATACTCGTTTTCATATAAATTCACGTGGTTAAACAATGTAAGGCAAACCTAAAACTTAAAAAATGTCAAATCGTAGTGATTCGCATTGCAGAAAAGGAACGTCATCAGAAATGTTGCATTATACAGAAACTTTTGAAACTGGTGTTGCATTGTAGTATAAAATCATAGTCATATTTCATGCAATGCCGTGTTTTACAACTTTACTAAATTCTTTGCATCTGTCCCCTTGATATAGTTTGTTATGACCCCTTTGATGGTATGTATTTCTTCACGAAATTTTAATGCCATTGTCAATTCTTGTATGCAGCAATAGAACAAAAACTTGCAAGTTCTCACGGCGTCTAATTGAGAATATTTGTATTGCTTACTTCGGTTCCCACGCGTGTCGAAGGCGTACGTTCACTCACATGGAGCCAAAGCCATACAAGTCAAACAAACACCGA